CCCAGCCCTCTCCCTCTCCTCAGACCGCCCTATTCCCTGAGACACAACAGTCATTAAATTAGGCCAATTAATAACTCTACAGAGGCTGGACGCATTGGTTCATGCCTGTAATCCCAGCACTCTGGGAGGCTGAGGGAGGTGGATCACCTGAGGTCAGGAGTTTGAGACCAGCCTGGCCAACATGGTGAAACCCTGTCTCTACTAAAAATACAAAAATTAGCCAGGCATGGTGGCACATGCCTGTAATCCCAGCTACTCAGGAGGCTGAGGCAGAAGAATCACTTGAACACGGGAGGCAGAGGTTGCAGTGAGCTGAGATCGTGCCATTGCATTCCAGCCTGGGCAACAGTGAGACTCTGTCTCAAAAAAAATAAAAAATAAAGTAACTCTACAGTAGACTCTAAGTGTTAGGTGAAAGGAAGAATCCCACGCCTCTCACTTTAAATCAAAAGCTAGAAATGACTAAGTTTAGTAAGGAAGGCATGTCAAAAGCTGAGATAGAGCCAGGGATGGTGGCTCATGCCTGTAATCCCAGCACTTTAGGAGGCTGAGACAGGAGTACTGTTTGAGTGCAGGAGTTCGAGACCAGCCTGGGCAACACAGCAAGACTCCATTTCTACAAAACAAAACAAAAAATTGCCAGGTATGGTGCACACACCTATTGTGTGTGCTGTTGCACTCCTCAAGAGGTTGAAGCAGGAGGATCACTTGAGCCCAAGAGTTCGAGGTTACAGTGAGTTATGATCACGCCACTGCACTCCAGCCTGGGTGATAAAGCAAGACCCTGTCTCTAAAACCAAAAATAAAAAAAAATTGAGGTAGGCTGAAAGATAGGCCTCTTATACCAAACAGCTAAGCTGTGAATACAAATAAAAGTCCTTGAAGGAAATTAAAAGTGCAACTCCAGTGAACATATAAATGATAAGAAAGTGAAACAGCCTTCTTGCTGATATGTAGAAAGTTTGAGTGGTCTAGATAGGAAATCAAACCAGCCACAACCTTCTCTTAAGCCAAAGCCTAATCCAGAGCAAGGCCCTAACTCTCTTCAATTCTATAAAGGCTGAGAGGTGAGGAAGCTACAGAAGAAATGTTGGAAGTTAACAAAGATTAGTTCATTGACTGGGCATGGTTGCTCATGCCTGTGATCCTAGCACTTTGGGAGACTGAGGCAGGAGGATGGCTTGAGCCAAGGGGTTGGGGCCAGCCTGGGCAACATAGGGAGACCCTGTCTCTACAAGAAATAAGTCAGGCATAGTGGCACACACCTGTAGTCCCGACTGCTCAGGAGGCTGAGGTGGGAAGATCACTTGAGCCTGGGAAGTCGAGGCTACAGTGAAGCATGATCACGCTGTTGCACTCCAGCTTGTGCAACAGAGTGAGACTCTGTCTCAATCAATCAATCAATCAATCAATGTTAGTTCGTGAGATTTAAGGCAAGAAGCTGTCCCTATCACATAAAAGTACAAAGTGGAGTGGCAAGTGCTAATGTAGAAGCTGCAGCAAGTTAACCAGAAAACTTAGCTAAGATCACTGATTAAGCTGGCTACAATAAACATAGATTTTTAATGGAGATGAAACAGCCTTCTATTGGAAGAATATGCCATCTAGGACTTTTTTTTTTTTTTTTTTTTTTGAGACAGAGTCTCGCTCTGTCACCCAGGCTGGAGTGCAGTGGCACAAGTGCTCTGTCACCCAGGCTGCAGTGCAGTGGAGTGCAGTGGCTAACATAGTGAAACCCCATCTCTACTAAAAAAAATACAAAAAATTGGCCGGGCGTGATAGCGGGCGCCTGTAGTCCCAGCTACTCGGGAGGCTGAGGCAGGAGAATGACGTAAATCCGGGAGGTGGAGCTTGCAATGAGCCAAGATCATGCCACTTCCCTCCAGCCTGGGCAACAAAGCGAGACTCCATCTCAAAAAACAAAAATTAGCCGGGCTTAGTGGCTGGTGCTTGTAATCCCAGCTATTCAGTAAACTGAGGCAGGATAATCTCTTGAACCCAGAAGGCGGAAGTGGCAATGAGCTGAGATCATTGCACTCCAGGTTGGGTTACAAGAGTGAGACTCCATCTCAAAACAAAAAAAAAAGACTTCAGTGGAGGAAGTAACTGCAGACATGGTGGAAGTAGAAAAAGAACTAGAATTCAGAAGTGGAGCCTGAAGATATGACTGAATTGCTGCAACCTCATGAATGGATGATGGGTTACTTGAATGGATGAGGGGTTGCTTCTTACAGATGAGCAGAGAAAGTGGTTTCTTAAGCTGGAACCCACTCCTAGTGAAGATGCTGTGAACATTGTTGAAATGAGAACATCAAAGGATTAAGAATATTACCTAAGCCAGGTTCGGTGGCTTACACCTGTAATCCCAGCACTTTGGGAGGCCGAGGCAGGCAGATCACAAGGTCAAGAAATCGAGACCATCCTGGCCAACATGGTGAAACCCCATCTCTACTAAAAATACAAAAATTAGCTGGGCATGGCCGGGCACGGTGGCTCACGCCTGTAATCCCAGCACTTTGGAAAGTTGAGGTGGGCGAATCACAAGGTCAGGAGATCAAGACCATCCTGGCTAACACGGTGAAACCCCGTCTACTAAAAATACAAAAACAAAAATTAGCCAGGCATGGTGGCAGGCGCCTGTAGTCCCAGCTACTCAGGAGGCTGAGGCGGGAAAATGGCATAAACCTGGGAGGCAGAGCTTGCAGTGAGCCGAGATCGTGCCACTGAACTCCAGCCGAGGCAACAAAGTGAGACTTTGTCAAAAAAAAAAAAAAAAAAAAAAAAAAAAAAAATTAGCTGCGCATGGTGGCGCACACCTGTAGTCCCAGCTACTCAGGAGGCTAAGGCAGGAGAATCGCTTGAACCCGGGAGGTGGAGGTTGCAGTGAGCCACTGCACTCCAGCCTGGCAACAGAATGAGATTTCGTCTCAAAAAAAAAAAGAATATTACCTAAACTTAATTGATAAAGTAGTAGCAGGGTTTGAAAGGATTAATTCCAATGCTGAAAGAAATTCTACTGTGGATAAAATGCTATCAAACAGTACTGCATGCTAGATAAATCTTTTGTGAAAGGAAGAGTCCATTGATGTGGCAAGCTTTGTTGTCGTTTTGTTTTAGAAAATTGCCATAGCCACCCCAGCCTTCAGCAATCACCACCCTGACCAGTCAGCAACCATCAACATCAAGACAACACCCTCCACCAGCAAAAAGACTACAATTCACTGACGGGTCAGGTGATCATTAGTATTGTTATGAAATAAAGAATTTTTAATTGTTTTTAACATTTTTAGACATAATGCTATTGCATACTTAACAAACTATAGTATAGCATAAACACAACTTTTCAAAAAATGTGTGACTCACTTTACTGCAGTATTCACTTTATTGTGGTGGTCAGGAACCAAACTTGCAATATCTCTGAGGTATTTTTCTTTTTTTTTTTTTTTGAGACAGAGTTTTGCTCTGTTGCCCAGGCTGGAGTGCAGTGGCACAATCTCAGCTCACTGCAACCTCTGCCTCCCAGGTTCAAGCAATTCTCCCTACTCAGCCTCCCAAGTAGCTGGGTTTACAGGCGCCCGCTACCACACCCAGCTAATTTTTCTATTTTTAGTAGAGACGGGGTTTTGCCATGTTGGTCAGGCTGGTCTCGAACTCCTGACCTCCAGTGATCTGCCCACCTTGGCCTCCCAAAGTGCTGGGACCACCGTGCCCAGCTGGTGTGTTCACTTTCATTTGAGTCCTTACTGTGCATTAGGCACTGTTATAAGTATTTTGTACATGAGTTTACTCATTTAATTCTTGCATCCAAATGCTCACCAGGCCTGACCCTGCTTAGCTTCCAAGATCAGAAGAGATTAGGCATATTCAGGGAGGTATAGGAGTGGTCCATTTAATTCTCATAGCAACTCAGTGAGGTAGAAAATATCAATTCTCCCCTTTATAGAAATGAGAAAACTGAGGTACTGGGAAATGGAGGGATTTGCATGAAGTCACACAGCTAGTAAGGGGCCAATTCAGGATTCCAACCCAGCCTGTCTGATTCCACAGACCTTGTGTTGCCATCCCCATCCTGAGATACCGCCCAGTTGGGTCGTTCACTGCTCTTCAGAAGTGTTTCCCCCAGAGGTGTGGGTGACTATTGTCCTGTAGTTCCTATTGTCATTTAAACTGTTGTTTACTTAACAATCCAGTTCATGCCAGAGCCGTGGAGTTCTAACACTTTAACACTTACTGTGTCCTTGGGTTTAACTCTCTGAGCCCCTGTTTCCTCATCTGTAAAATGGGGATAAAAATAATAGGCTGGCTGTGAAAATTAAAATGAGATAAGGCATGGCAAGAGCTGAGTACGGTGCCTGGCACACGATAAGCGCATCATGTTTCATGAGTTAGTTGTTATTGTTGTCATTATCATTGCCGTCATCATCATTAGATCCTTCTCATTCTCCGGAATACCCAACAAGGGAAGAGAAAGAAATGGGGTGCTGAGTCTGTGCCTTGGGCCTGGCCCCCAATGGCCTAGAGCCTGGCACCTGAATTGGGTTACAGCATCCGAGGACATGTTGTTCTCTACGGGAGATGCTCAAGGGAAGGAAATGGGGTCAGCAGCACCAGCTATGTGCCAAGCATTATATCCAGTCCCCAAATCCCAGACTCCCAAAAGTAACAGTTGAGATGTAAGTATGGCTAATATTTTCAGGGATATTTGGGAAAAGATTCCCAACCTGCCTCCATTCAAGATTGCTACAAAAATCAAGAGACACTGAGATACCTCCTCTCTGTGAAAACATATGGAAAACAATCCTACCTTTTGTAATTCAAGAACATTCATCAGTGTGTACTATAAACTGGGCCCTGGGGAAGCCCCACCCTCAAAAACCCATGGTGAACCACCAATTCCCACTAGGCCCTTGGTTCCAGTCTCAGAGAAAAATGGCAGGTGGCATGGCCCGCTGCTGTGGCCTGAGGACAAATTCCATGGCCTCGAGGTAATGGACTATTACCTTTGGGAATGTCATGCTCCAAGGAGTCCATGAAATCCAGGGAGGGGTCCAGGTCAGCCTTCTCAAGCAAGGTCTTATTCTTTAGCTCAACAGGCTCCCTGAAATGGAAGTAGGAGCTGAGCTTCTTGGCCTCAGACAAGGACAGTCCTAGAAAGAGGTGGCAGGCAGGAAAAGGATGGTTAGCCCAAAACCCCCCAGCCCCCTTTCTCTCTGCACTGGGACCACATGGTAGGGCTTACAAAAGACCGTGTCAACCACTGATAGAGAACTGAAGGAAGGAAATGGATTAGCATTCCCTCAGTCCAAACTCGGACCAGATCCTGCCATAAACAGAGTCCAGCCAGGCGCGATGGCTCATGCCTGTAATCGCAGCACTTTGGGAAGCCAAGGCAGGCAGATCACCTGTGGTCGGGAGTTTGAGAACAGCCCGGCCAACATGGCAAAACCCTGTCTCTACTAAAAATACAAAAATTAGCCGGGCATGGTAGTGGGTGTCTGTAATCCCAGCTACTCGGGAGGCTGAGGCAGGAGAATCCCTTGAACCCAGGAGGCAGGGGTTGCAGTGAGCCAAGATCATGCCACTGCACTCCAGCCTGGATGACAAGAGCGAAACTCCGTCAAGAAAGAAAGAAAAGGAGGGAGGGAGGGAGGGAAGGAGGAAAAGAAGAGAAATGAGGGAAGAAAGGAAGGAAGGAAGGAAGGAAGGAAGGAAGGAAGGAAGGAAGGAAGGA